CGTCAAATGGGCATTATTGTACCGTTGCGTATCCTCTCGCATTCTTTTTACGGAGTGAGAAAATTTAAAACAATTAAAAATACATTTATCTGATCGCTCCCAAAACGCGACCGGTCGCGGTGACATAAATCGGGAATCGAGCTCCCATCAATGTCCTCCACACATCCGGATCTGTACTCAAATTAAGTTTTACCTGCAGATTTCGTGGCAGTGGTTCGGACCTTGTAGAAGTGCCAAGCGTTGGTTCTGATGAGGTGTAATCCTCGAGAATAGTCCGCGGCCGAGGTACACCACTGTGACCTCCCTTCAGAACCAGTAGTTAGTACGCATAGCAATGCAAGCAGAGGAAGTTAACAATGAGAGAAATTCAAGAGTCAGAGTATTGCATGCTCGATAGAATTACAGATAAATACAGTGGTTTAACTTTCGGAAATGCGATTATGTGAACTTCGCGGGTTGATTGGGGTTTTGCTCTGATAATGCCGATTTTCCAAAGAGAATCCGTAATGAGATATAGATATTACGTGCGAGAGATAGTTACGAGAGATAGTTATGAGAAATCATAATTGAGCTAACGGTCGTTACGCTGGGACTACATAGATGCAAAACATTAATCGATAAGTGAACACTACATGCTGGGCATTACAAGAGTCTTCAACTACGGTAGGTCTCGAAGTCACGTAATTGTATTAAGAGAATCAATCACTATCGAATACTACATTTAAGGGTCGTAAAATAGGAACTGATAGACAATAAAAATATATCATAATCGTAAAATTGTGCTAATTTAAAATCAACATTTAAGGATGAATGTAAATTTACCTTGAGAGTCTTAATATGTATGTGTAAATCTAATGTAGCTACCTATGAACTGGTCTATCGTAATTACATAGTATATTCAATATTTTGGAGTAAAAACTATATAAGTCATCATCGAGACGAATAATACGTGATAAATTAGTGCAAAGCATTGTGCAATAGCACAAATTATTTGGTCATTACGGTGGATATTCTGCGGTGGATATTCCATAAGATCGTGCGTGATGGAAGAGTGCTAAAGTCTCGCTGCTGTGAATATTATTTGTAACTATCGAATATAAAGAGAAAGATACTCAGGACAGTATTGAAAGAAATGGAGTTGAATTTTAGTTTAGAGAAAGACCCGCGTATCGTACTCGCTACGTAGAGCTGTATAAAGCGACAGATTGAAACATCGAATCATCGTTTCTACGTTCTTATCTATCGAAATGCATGCAGTCTCAAATAATACAAAATTGTTATAACTTTGTAGAACCATCTCGTTTTACTTATACGTTATACCAATCAGATTATGTTGTCACTATCAGATTGTGTTTTATGTGACGGACTTTATGAAACTTTTACCTGAGATTTTCAGTTCAATTTTTCTCGATGTTCACACTTCTTTTGAATTTGTTTGGAGAACAAGTGTCCGTTGCACTTGTCAGATCGCATTGAAATTTCAGGTAAATTGCAACTTTTCCGCGAAACTAACTTACCTTGGTTGACGGCGGTCCAGATGACGTGACGTCATGATCGGCCAAAATTGAAGAATTGTTCTCATCGACGATAATGACTTCATACTCGCCATCATCTTGAGAGCCAGATTGATTCATTATACCTCCGCTACCTGAGAACACATGATTAAAATATGATATGAGAAATCGATAAAAACATTTTCTTCTTGCTAAGCCAGTTGATATTCATATACATGCGTTCAACGATATTATGTAATAGAAAGATTTCATTTATATATTTATAAATAAAATTCACAGTTTGCCAATGTAAAAAATGTACAAGACCAATAGCTTATGAAATCCACAAGGTACATCAAAAACGAAAACACACAAAACATTCTTTTTTATTTGTATTACGTAAAGGGTTGCGCAAAATTGCTGCAAAATAAATCGTAGCACACAACAGACATTTCAATTCTTCAGTTACTCGAATCTTAAGAAACACAAGCTTTTATTATACTTAATTTTTTATATGCATATATATATATATATATATATATCGATCT